CCCCCCCCCCCCCCCCGCACTCGGCTAAATCAAGCATTATTTTTGTGCGCGAAATTAAAGGATAAGGTAGAAAATGGATAAGGTAGAAATAGAAGAATAGAAGGATTTCAAGAATAGAAGATAGAAAATGATTAAAGGATAAAGTAGAAAATGATAACCCCTACACCCTCCCCCCAGCTCACTCAGTTCGACTACGGTATCCCAGACAGAAGAGCGAGAGAAACCCACTCTGTATGCCCACCGCCTCTGAGCGGAAATGCGATTAGACTGCCTACGTAATGAGATTATATAGATTCACTCACGTATGTATCTGAATTGTGAGTACTCGAAAGCTAGGACTGAAGAGGGGAAGCAAGTGCATTTATTCGCGGAGGTCGGAAAGAGAAGTACTGGTAAAGACACAAAAAAAAGACATGTTAAGGAGAAAATCGGTGAGGTAAAAAAAAGATGATATAAATAGCTGAAGTTTGTCGGGAGTGAGAGTAAAAATCAAAAATCATTGCGTGTTGTCGATTTGTGTGCCAACACAAAATTTGGCAGCTCAACAGAAATGTTTCAAAATTGTAAACAAATTTCGAGAACTGTCAGAAGAAATGGGGAAAGGCTCATTTTGTAATCACACAAGGGTTCAAAACGAGGCAACGCTGTGTGAATAGATTTGTGGGAAGATTCTTTTCAGCTAGCGAAAGGTCATTCGAAGCTAACAAAACAGATTGGGGCTTAGATGTCGAAACTGGTGGACGTTGAAAAGCGGCGCTTGCGACCAGCTGCCCGGCACGCCGAACCTTTTGCATGCTGTAACTATTCGAAATTCTTTCGTATTTCACCACTTAGCAATGTTAGCTTGCACTCCTCTGGAAGATCTCATCCCATATGGACTGCTCAGATCAAGAAGACCCATGTGCTAAGCTCGCCGTCAAATTCACAACTCCAGTCGTTATGTAACTGATAATTCCCGCACTGCTGAAGGAGATGCAAAGTGAGATCGTTATCAGTTCGTGCTGGCTCCTGCCATGGAACTTTGCGATCCGCTTCTCTTATCCTTTGTTTAAGTAGTGATATTATGATATACATATGTGTATATCATAATATCGCTATATACACATATATATACAAAATATAAAACTGTATTAGAAAATTAGATGCATGGGAATGTTTCGATCCACTAATTCGTGGACATTCCTATTCAGCATCACAACTGGACCTCGTCAAAATGTCGAATGGGTTGTTGATAAGTGTAGCTTTTCAAACGCTCAAGCCGGTGATGTGAAGCAGTGAAGCTTGGTGTTGCAGAGTTTTCAACCGCGCCAAATCAAGCAGTGCAGGAAGAATAGTGCTTTAGTAGTGCTAGTTGGCTAGGTGCAAGCGTGGTGCGAAGAAAGACAGTGCATGCAAATAATAGCAAACATCATTTCTTCTTGTGTTTGTCATCTCTTCTCCAATCATTCAACTATCCCAGTTATGTATCTGTGCCCATTTTTGTGCTTCCCGGGGCAGCCACAATAGCCCCCGAGCTTACGCCTGTCACTATCCACCCTCCGGCTGAATCAGGTGCTTCGCATAAAATCAATTTTAATGCATTTTTTTTCATCTTGTGCAGATGGTTCTTTGCAAAAGAAATGAAAATCGTTTCGCTCTTCCTCACGCAAACGAGTTATTCACTGAGATGGCTAGGAATCCATCTTGTTTTTTAGGCAATAACTAATTAATGAAATTGCACGCAGCATGCTGAGACTTGCAAATGCTAAATTACGGAATTTGCTTCGGCTGAGTTTGAAATAGCACAATAACCGAGAACGGTATTGAGTTCGAAATAGTAGAATTAAATGGATTGGTCGCATGTGTAAGAAGAAATGTTAGAATGCAGTTTGTGTTTCATCCCTTAGCTGTAAACTTGCATCCTACAATCATCAAGGGTGTACTTGTCCGGGCGAGCAGCGAGGACTGCAATTCCTAAAGTAGAGTTCGCTGTCAAAATGAAAAATGATTGATTAAAATTTTATCGTTCCAGCAATGCTCGCTCAGTTATTCAGCCAATAGTCTGGCGGTATAATAATTGAATTGTTTCCCGAGGTTTTCAGTCTGTGAATACACGGCAAGCGAATCAGCGGATTATTCCATGACTAGCCTTCACCGCCCACACATGAAACTGATCAAACTGTGATTCAGTTCACTGACACAGGCAGAGCTTTTTTTTTTTATGGAACGGTTTTTGGCCATTTGCTGAAGGACACGAGTAAACTGGTTAATAATTAGTAAGCATCAAATTAACAGCAAATATTTGATACGGGCTGCTTTAAAAAACTGAAACATCTGTTTTCCAGTTACGCCAAGTGATTCTGACAAAAACCAGCATTCCTGGGATGTAAAATTTGATGCATTGTGCAAGGCGAACGAAGAGACACTCGGCTGAAAAACCGATTAACAGCAGCCTCTGCCTGACCTTTAAAGTAGAATGTTTAAAGGGAAGTTCGAGACAAGGCATAAAAAAAGAATGGGTGGCACAAGTAGTCACATCAGATGTTCCTAAAAGTTCAGGAAGAACACTGCTGAACCTGAAGTTTCTCAGATAGTGAAAGTACAAAAACATAAGATGTGGTTCAAAAAAAAAAATGCCTGCAAAATCTGTTTGCTGTAGCTGTTAACTGCACTTATGACGCTAAATTTTGCCTTGCCGGCAGACAATTCATTTATCAAATGCACTTTAAAACGACGCTTAGTCGCAATTTCGTGGAACCACTGTTTTTGCAATTGTGCCAACTAGCTGAATTCTCACACCACCTCCTTTCTTTCGAAGCTTTTTTGAAGCTCATCTTTGTGAAACATACACAGCTCTGATGCCCAAAATGCGCCAGAAGAGAGGCAAAAGAGCAACGGCCAAAATGCGCAACCACACAAAAAATCAGGCAACAAAGACTTAATCGCTATTTTTATTCGCTGGACCATTTTGAGCCAAGTTCTAAAGCGCCTAAAATAACCGCATGCTTATTGTAAACTTTATCTTACCGCCAAGGTTCCAAAATGTAACGGTAGGGGCTTATCCAGAAAACTAAATTTTCTGAGATTTTGGCCACATTTCATTTTCCGCTTGCATTTTGCAGCTGAGCCGCAATTTTTTTCGCTCACTCTTTCATACCCGCTTTCTTAAATAAAATGGGGCTGGTTAAAAACAAAATACTCAGGAGTTGATGAAAGATGAAAACTGTTTGTTCTACAAGACGATTAAAAAAAAGAACTGAAACACTACCAACCGATCTACTTAGTTCCTCACATTTACAACTTACTCGTAAGAATTATCGCTGGCCAATAGGATTTTTTGATGAGAAGCAAAAGAGGAAGCTGGATTTTGAATCACAGCTCAATAGCCTTTCACTAGTTACAGGAATATCAGTAAATGAGTATCACCTCTCTCCCTCTTTCCCTTTCTCTCCTTGTTCTTCGTAATTATCATTTACGAAAAAATACAGTGTTACGAGATTTGGTGAATAAATGGATTGATCGGAACTATGCGAAAGTTGTTAGAAAAGTGAACACACGCTGATCCAAAGCTTTTCTCCACTCATAGCCCGCATAGCACTTGAAAAGGGAATGAGGCAAGGCGATTCCATATCACTGAAGTTTTCACGACCTGTCTCAAGATGGTATTCAAAAGTTGGCTTGAAAAGTTGATCTGGACATAGTCCTTAATGTGAGCAACCGTTGCGAGACAAATGAAGTGCTGTGAGAGCTCAGTGCAAGAAATAAAGAAATGGTAGTTGGCATGTTGATTCTGTTGCATTCAAGCGTCTAATTTGAACAGATGCATCCATATGTGATCAAGAGATGTTAGATTTGCGCATACGATGAAGAAAACTTCGATTTTTATTTTCTTCTAAAATTGCTTGTGCTGTTTTGCTTACTAAAAGCATTACCGAAATTTCGTCGAAACCAATTTGCTGGATTTTTGGGCAACAAATATGCCCGGGACATTTTCCTGCTTAAAGTCAGCATAAGGACCTCATTACAGGTCATCATGCGAACTCGACATCTGCAGTTTTGGCATAACCTACACCGAAC